GCCGTTACGCCGCGGTTGCTTATATGTAAGTGGTACATAATAGTAATATATTCTAGAACTGCAATTATTTAATATTTATATATTAGTAGTATTAATATTATTAGGTGTATAATTGTCTTTTAGCAGTCGGTTGACGTCAGTTCAAATTATCTGCTGCTTGTCTCATTTCAGTTCCTGAAATGACTTGAAACGTTAAAGATTTTGAATGTAATAAAATATTAATTTCTGACATAAGTCATTGCATTACTAAATATGAGGTTAAACTGTTTCGATTACGTATATCAAAAATATGGACCGCTATATACTTTTAATGTATGTTCTGTTAGTATACTGCTTTCATATATTTCTGTATATTATATGCTGTTATGATACTGCTGCGCATTGAGATGCTGTATGTACTACTTATATGCAGAAATGCTACTAAGATCCACGTCATTACTAATATACTACAGTTTACTTTCTTTTAGTCTATTGCTGTAGTATATTACTGTTATGTAACACGATGCCTTATATACAGTCGATTGCATATGAAATTTACTTTTGGAAAAGTTAAGCATTTTTAGCTCTTTGTAGAGTTATGTTACAGTATCATAGATTGCGCGTAAGATGCAGTGTCAGCAACTGTAATTAGTGTATTTAAATGATACAAGTTCTACCATATCTTATAAAAGTATGTTTGTTCCCTTTTAAATGTGCATGAGCTCTCGGTTTTTTTAAGCAAGACGTCTTGTGAAAGGTTCAGTACTGTAATGCCTGCCACTACTCTTTCGGGCAGTAAAGTTTCGTTTATGTTCATATATACTTAAGATACTAAATATTTTTTACCTTACAGTTCTTGCACGAGTCAGGCGGTTTCTTCCAAAGATAGCGGCTGCCAACGAGCTGCTCAAAGACATGCCGGATTCATGTCGATTAGACGCGGACTTGAAAGTGGTCGGCGATGACGACGAAATTTCGCTCTCTCAACAGCAACCGGAAGGTCCTCTCATTGAGATGGCAAGAATTTGATTGAACTTTTTAAACTTCATTGATACAGTCTGTAGCTTTAGCATAAAGCTGTGTTGAAATTAGGTAATAATTTTCTTCTGTTGAATAATATAAGTAGTACATAGACAAAGCTACAGGCAAACTAAGAGAAATAAAATTAAATAAAAACAAATAATGTAATAAATTAATTCATTAATTAATAAATAATTCTGTGCAAGAGTTTCTTGTGAAGCACTACATAGAGCGCCATATGCAGTCCAATCCGAATATTGACTGGCTATTCAGCCAGAACC